TTATTATTATTATTATTATAGTAGTTAATGCTATTTTTTGCTATTATATTAATAATAGTTAGTGCTATTAATTTTTTTACATGATTACACTTAATAGGGTGTATTAATGTGAAAGAAAAAATATGAATGACAAAATTTGTAACTTCTTTTGGAGGGAAAATAAATGAGATTTTATTAATTAGGTTTTATTTATGAGATTTTATTTAATGATTAGCTAACAATTATATATATATATATAGATAATATCATCATGAAACACTATCTTATCTAAATTAACATTTATATGTAACAAATATGAGTATAATTTTATGCACACATTACGATCCACCTATTAAATATTTAAATTAGTATAACATCATTATTTGGATGAACGAACCTTTTGCGGGTGTTTTTGTCTTCTAGATGAAGTTTGTACCTCAAACACATATGTAGTTCCATGCGGATTGGTCCAGTTTTTTGTTTCTGTTAGTGTCAGTTGACACTCTGATTGTACTCTTTTGAGATTTTTGATTTTTAGTATAATTGTCGTTACCCAAAAAAATGCCAAAGGATAAATAAAATAAAATAAGCAAACCTCTTGGTTTGTCAAGAGGGCACAAAGGTCCTTTCTCCTTGAATCATAAGAAATAAGGCCACCACGTCTATTGGATAATAGAAGCCTAATTGACGACTGGGCTCGCGCGAGAAAGGAAACAAAAAAATCATCAGATCCGATCTCTGCAGACCATCCACAAGATGTCGTCAACCTTCAGCGGCGATGAAACGGCACCGTTCTTCGGCTTCCTCGGCGCCGCCGCCGCTCTAGTCTTCTCCTGTAAGCCGTGCTCCGCCTAGATCCGATCCACACTTCCCTTTTCATATCTAATCTTGCTCTGTTTCCTTCTTTCAGGTATGGGGGCGGCGTACGGCACCGCCAAGAGCGGCGTCGGCGTGGCGTCGATGGGCGTGATGAGGCCCGAGCTCGTGATGAAGTCTATTGTCCCGGTGGTCATGGCTGGTGTATTGGGTATTTACGGCTTGATCATTGCCGTGATTATCAGCACTGGGATCAACCCCAAGGCCAAGTCCTACTACTTGTTCGATGGGTACGCGCACCTTTCGTCTGGGCTCGCTTGTGGTCTTGCCGGCCTTGCTGCTGGTATGGCCATCGGGATTGTTGGAGATGCTGGTGTTAGGTAATTTCTGTGCGACTACCTGGATGCTGAATTGATTTAAATTTAGCATGATTTTGAGAAACTTTTAGCAATGGTGATGAAGTATTTTGATTTATTTGTTACCTTTGGAATTGGATTAGGATGTGACTGATGAGTAATGAGTTAGGATATTGTCAAGGTATATATGCTTACTGTGGTTGTTTTGATATATTGGTGGGTGACTTGGTGATGGTTTGCTCATTTGGATAGTTTTTAGGATTGAATTTTTACTTGATAATTGGTTCATAGTTATCATTAAACTCATTATCTGCCTGAAGTTGAGAACACTGTCCGTGTTATTGTATAATATACTTCTGGAACCTTTTGTAAAATTGTTGAGCATTTCCACACATGTAGAAAGTACTCTGCATTGGATCATGCACTCGAGGCCTCTAATATAGCCAAATTCATAGTATCCATATATCAGTGGATTCGTATATTTGATGATGTACATTTTCCTATTCGGAATCTTCAATTGAGGAATTTTGCATCATACCCCATTAGATTTAATCGTATCACTGAGGTCCATCTTTTGTTCTTTGGGATGTCGGGCCTTTATGTGTGACATCTTTTTTTTTCAGCTCACGTGTTTTGTTAAGTCCATTGGAATTTTCATTCTGAGGCCGGTTAAAGCTTTATGGAACTGTAAGATTGGATCTTGGCCTTTTATAAGGCGTTGTGAAACTCTAGAATCGATTGCAACCATAGATACTATGCAACTAGAGATTGGCTTCTCTTTATGGAACTCTAAATTGGAATATATGACCCTAAGTATTGTACAACTAGAATGGCTTTTCTGCTGTAGAATACAGAGGAGAAGTGTTATCTGTTTTTTATTTTCTTTTTCTCTCTTGCTTGCAAGAAAGATTCTTTGTCATTCACCCGTTATTGATTACAAAAAATGTCATTGAGATGGTAACTTTATTGTATTGCGTCAGGATTTGCTTGATGTCCTTCAAATAGCTCAGGGAACAATTCTTTTTATACTTTTGAGATTTTCTTTTGTTCAAAATACGATTACTAACTTTATATTCCCTTGTGGCAGAGCCAATGCACAACAACCAAAGCTCTTTGTAGGGATGATTCTTATCCTCATTTTTGCTGAAGCTTTGGCTCTTTACGGTCTCATTGTCGGCATTATCCTCTCTTCTCGTGCTGGCCAGTCCAGAGCAGATTAGAACAGTCCCTATCATTCCAAAGTAGTTAAATTACACTCTCTATCGAGAAAAGATTCATAGTCTTTCCATGTTTTCCAAGGTAGTTTGGACACAACATATTTTCATGCTCGTTGTGCATGGTAAATTGCTTGGCCAAAATGATCTGATGATGGTCGACATGTTATTTTGGTGGGATGTAGAGAAGTTGGATTTTACATGTTATTCAAAGGACCAAGTTTGATCTCTAAACTGTTGCCTATTATTTGTTTCTATGATACTCTATTATATTGCTTTATTGCTGTTCCAATGTCATACTCAATGCTTAACAATCATAATATATTGATGCATGTTGTTAATTTGTGCAATAGTACTTGTGCAAGTAATGCAGTACATTATTCCTTTTCCTTTCATCGTGTGATTTGGCCATTGCAAAATTGTTGGTTTTGAACTAGACTGGCTAGTGTGATGGTAGAACAGAGAATGTGGCTAATTTAGCCCTCTTAAACTGCCCCCTCTAAACGGCTCGCAAAAGAAAGGATTGCGAACCAAAGAAAGGATTGAGAACCAATCACACTGGTCAAACTTGGCGTGAAAACCATGTTGAGTCGGTTAGTTTCATTTTGAGTTGGAACTGTTGGTGTGGCTATTGGTGACTGAGACGAAGTTGAGTTGAAAACCATATTCGTGTAGATATGTATTTAAATCATATTCACTTCCATATATGTTGTTTATCTTTTATTGGAAAATGGAAGAAAATTTCATATTTGTACATATTTGTATTAAAATCATATTTATTTCCATATACGATGTTTTAATTTTAATATTTTTTTTTATGCAGTATGTTTTTAGTGCATATACAATGTGTCAACTCTTCAGCTCATATACAACATTTCTTAGAGCATCTTCAATGAATAGATTGCTCTATTCTATTGCAACGAAGACCCAAAAATTTAATATGACATTTAAAATATGTAAAAGTCTTTATAGATGTTAAAAAAAACTTCTCGACATCTTTTATTCTATATTATATTATATAATTTATATTTTTCTCTTCACCAACCAATTATTATCTTACATTGACAAATTAAACAAAATAATTTTATTTCTTTTCTCCACACCTTACGTCTTAGACAATGTGGTATTGAATATGCACTTATGTTGCTTCGAAGCAACTTTCTAATCTCTAATCAAAGTTGAAGCTAGTTGCACTGATGTTTATCTTGAATACAAGTTTTATGTACCAAAGTACTTTCATTTTTTGCTGCCAATCAACAAAGTCAAATTTCACATCAAACGAATAATAATATAGAGCTCAGTTAAAAAATACAAGAGTTTCTGAAAAATGCACACGAGTTTTTCAATGATATTACCACAACATTCAAAATATCAGGCATATGTGAATCAAAAGAAAATAGATCCAAAGCAAATCAAAGAAAACGAATATACACAAAGCGAACTATAATTATGATAGGGTATACTATACCAACTATTAGAGCTCGTGTGACCTGAGAATAGCTCGAGTGGTTTGAGAGGATTGACAACTCTGTTAGAGGTCGAGCATCATGAAGGATTGAGGTCGGGAAAACATTAGGTCGGTTGGAATCTCATAAGATAAACTAGCACAATAACAGGTCGAGTTAGGACTTTAAATAATCTTATGAAAACTCGACTTGGGAGTGGAAAGGTCGACTAAGGACCTCGACATTAGGTCGGTTGGGTTTTTGAGTTTATACACTATTTTGGGTTGAATGAAAATCATGTTTAATTAAACGTCTTTGTGTTTTGATTTTTAACATTTTGATAATTATGGTTCATCAAGAATGAACATAATATCATATTATTGACTACTTGTAAAACATAAATAATAAGTTCACAACCTAGATAGAAATGAACAACACATTGAAAAAGGTTATAATGTAAATAAGATCGGTTGGTCTTGAACAATGAATCGCAATAGTACACTATGAGTGTATTGAGCAAATCTCGCAGAGGCGCAGAGGATAAGTTTAGTTTATACTGACCAAATAAATAAACTAGACCTCAGTAATTATCATGTATTTTTAACCCGTAAGATAATAAAGTGCACGTGCACTTAATAGTTGTTACCTTGATTCACTAAAAAGTGAGATCCATTTTAGTGGATCAACAGTCTAGTTGAGTTGGGTAGCTATGTTGTTTGTATGGTGTTGTTCCATTATTTACAATCATAGTGTGCCTTAGTTCGATGGTGCTCTCGAAGTAAGCTCAGGAACTGCTATTATGTCAAGCTCTGCAGGCGGAAATAAATTGACGAACATTAATTGATAAACATTATATCTTAAACACGTGGAGGTAAATCAAGTAATTAATTTGGAACCTCAAATGTAATTTGAGAGTTAAATGGGGAGTTCGATAAAATTCCTTAGTGGACTGAAATATTATTCAAGTGCGAATAGAGAGCCCATAGTTAGCACCTCTTTAGGGTCCCTATTGTAGCCTATAAATAGATCATTTCCCCTTGATGTCTCTCACACCCAACATCATAAAAATTCTAAAGAGCGTGACTTTTGAGAGATCTTGTGAGTCTTGAGAATCATCGAGAAATCTCTAAGCTTGTTGCCCATAAAGACGAACGAAGAGGTGTTGGTCATACAACAGAAGTCCCGAAGGTCATCCGAGGCACGCATCACTGCATGCATCCCTGTGATCCCGAGCACCACATCACGACCACCGTGAGGAGCCCCAACCCCAGCGACCACCGCACGAGGCCAGGCACACGCATGCGTTGACCTAGCAACCTAATGCAGCTCAGCTGTGCACGCGACCTGACACCCAGAAAGCACGCGACGCGCACGGCCAGACAAACCTCACCGCACGGCGATTGGCGATCCGAGGTGCAACGATCAACGACCAAGGCGTGGTGGGTGGATGAGGTAGAAGAACGACGTGGTGGACCAAAGCGTGTAGTCTGTACAGAGTTTGCACCATAAGCGTTTAACCTTAACTCTAGTTCTGGTGCTTAGGTTTATTTCGTAGACGAATCCGTGCCTTGCAGAAATTTGAGGTTCCTTATAGAACCCCAACACTCATAAGTTAAACTGCACAACAACATGTCGAACTAGGACTCTAGGATATTATGATGGAACTCTACCTGATAGTGGAGAAGTGGATTAAAGACCTCAACATCAGGTCGGTTTGGACCTCAGTCACAACAACAAGTCGAGTTAGGAATCTAAGATAATCTGATGCAAAATCGACCTCGAAGTCAAGAGAGGCGATTAAGGACCTCAACATTAGGTCGGTTGGGACCTCAGAAGGTAAACTGACACAACAACAGGTCGAGCTAGGACACCAGGATAGTCTGATGGAAACTCAACCTAGAAGTAGAGAAGCCGATTAAGGAGCTCAAAGGGATATTGGTTCAGCAAAAACCAGAATGGTTAAATATCATGGTTTAGAGAACTGGACCGGACCGACTGGTCTGAAAACCGGTTGCCAGCGAACCAGTCAAAAACCATTCAAATCTGGACAAAAATTGGTCTAGATGCACGAATTTGAACCGTCCATTTTTTTTTAAACTAAATTTTAATCTATTTAAAAATATTTTTAATATAAATATAAAATTACATATTTAAATACAATGGATATATAGAAGTGATTATTAGTTAGTATGTGTATTTGAATGTCTTAAATTGGCTTAGTATTTAATTAACAAAGTGTTATACGTAAATTTTATTATACAGAACATTATATTTGTTTAAAAAAATTAATAAATTGAATATCAGTCAACCTAGTTCAACTACTGATTCAACTAGTGAACCGTTGAACTAGTAGCTTCATCGGCTTGATGACAGTCCAATTTTCAGAACCTTGTTAAATATAGAAGGAACCGAGTTGTTAACTCAATTATACTTAGAACAACCACCTAATTAAGTACACCAATGTTAACACACCAGACGAAAAAAGAAGTACGATTATAATTAAGACAAGAATGGCACATGGATAATAGAATTTGACAGTGTGATTGGGTAGTTCGAGCACTCATACAATAAGATAGATATCGGGCAAAAGGGTAGCATCTCTATGTAAGGGGGTGATATATCGTCATCTCTTTATATATTTTGAACATCTTAGACTCATATACAATACATCCCCACCCCCACTTTATTGACTTGAATGTTGGAGCTTCTATGTTTGGACAATCCTCAACGTTGTTTTGCAGGTCATTTCATCAAATTAAGAACATATTAAAGGATGTCGGACCGAATCAAGATTGTTTTACATACCATTTAAAGGCATTTGTGGAAATCAACAAATCATATAAAGATGTAGCTGAAGCCACCAACAAAAACTATGATCACTCAAAACTGATAAATCACAAAAAAAAAAAAAAAAATTAGGGTGTGCATTCAATTGAGATTCCAAGTAAAATTTTAAAACTTTTTAAGATTTTCAGATTTAAATGGAATTCTGTGAAATCTTAAGTTGGGAGATAAAATTTGAAGTGGGATTTCGTATAATGTTTTCTTTAGAAATCTCATCAAATCTTAAAAAGTTTTAACAAATCTTAGTCTCAAATAAATTCAATACCTCAGCATTTTGTAAGATTTTTTAAAATCTCAAATGAATACTCCAAGAAATTTAAAAGCCTTAAAAAATCTTAACAAATATAAATTGAACATAGCAAGATTTCTAAAGTTCTAAAAAGTCTTTAAAAATTTCAATTGAAAATATCCCTTAAGTTCTACGAACAACAAATCCCATCAAACGATTTATAATCAGGGACTAACCACAACGATGAAAAGAGGGATTCGAGCCAATTCAACATAGCATAACCCTAAGTAAAAGCTTCAATCCACCGACGCGGTAGAAGGGTAAACCACACTGTAATACCAACAATGACTATTTGCTCGTCGTTAACATGAAAAGACAATATGTGGGGAACCATATTATAATTATAATAATACTACTAATGGACAATGGTTAATTGTTCGTCAAATCCACGAGAATCGATGACATTTTCAATTAAGACGTAACATTAAAATTAGTTAGTATTTTTTATATTGTATACATTTATATTAAAAATTGACGAATATTTTCACTTACTGTCATAGTTTTTAAACCCGGCTGGCTCTCCGGGTCAAATGCTGAACCAGATAGTTAATTTTATATTTATTAAAATTATATATAGTATTTTTGACATATAAATGTACATAAAAGTAACAAAAATAAATGTTTTGTATATAAAATTTGTACATCATAGTGTTAAAAGAATTATATCTCACAATAAATATTTACTATATCGATATATTTATATAGTTTTTATTTTTTATATAAAAAATATTAAAAAATAAAAAAATATATAGGGACCGGAACCCGGCTGGGTCAATGACCCGGGTCAAGGTCGGGTTGGCCGCGTTTTGACCGAGTTTGACTGAGTCCATTTTTACCAGATCCAAATAGCCCACTCGGACCGGTTCCCACTCCGGGTCAGCTGGGTTCTGGGTCGACCCGCCGGATCGGTTCGGGTGGGAAAACAATGCTTACTGTCTTTTACCATGTTTATGTTTTTTTTTTTTTGGTCAATGAGAACATAAAGAAACCTAAAAATTCTTTACCAATAAAATAAAGGATTAATTGATTATGAATTAGTGAACCATTGAAAAAACAGGTTTTAACTTCCAATCAAACTTTATTGATGGATTTTCATAAGAAAAAATGATTAATTTCCACTTTTAGCCATAATTTTTGGAGTGATTTTCTCATATCTATTTTCTAAGCTCTCTCTTTAATGAGTAGTGGTGGTTACTTAATCCATTACCAAAAATATGTCTAAATTCTCAACATGGAGTCATAATTAGGCCAATAATTAGCCTCACTAAACTTCATCAACCCAAATTAGATACACATAAAAAA